ACAGAAGACCAGAGAAGATTCTCCTCCGTCTGGCGTGCATGTGCCCGTTGCTCGTAGGGTTACAAATAAACAACAGGCGTGAAAGTGGTGAAAGTGGTTTAAATAATTCGAGACAAGGGACGAGCCAGAATACTCACGGTTTAAACTTTTGCTTCATAGACCCATATTACGATCCCATTGCCCTGCCGATCGTGGATCCGCGAATGCAAACGCGATTGAATCGTTCGTTCGAACGTAATTAGCGGGGACAGAATGCGAAATAATGCGACGTTCTCACGCTCGGGAAGCTAGAACGACAGGATAAAGCAAGGTGAAAACGCGCGGCCGCGAAACGAGGCGAATTGTGCAATAATTGCGGAGAGGTGACCGGGTGTCAAGAGCAACGGAGACGTTCTTCTTTTTTCTTTTTTTTTTTTTTTTCTCTTCTTTTTCCTCGTCACGACGCATGTACATATAAATGTACAGACACCCAGAGGTCTCGTTAGCGACATTATCGGTGACTAACGATCGCGATCGCCAAGGTCTCTCGTTCTGCTCGGCTGATGCATCGCTCCGCTCCGCTGTCGCAGACTGTTGTCTCTTTTTGCGTCGAGGCTTTCGATCCAGCTTCGATTATGTCATCGTCCACGCTCTGCCTCCGCACCCAGCAATAAAAAGCTATCCGGTTCTCTGTGACGAATCGACGTCACGATATTTCTCATTTTTTTTTTTTTTTTTTTTTTTTTTTCGGGAGATACGAAAAGTATGTACATGGCAAAAATTAACTTGTTACTAAAGTAAATATCCTTTATATAATATAACTAAATAATTTTTAAAACACAGTGAGAAAGAATCACGTTTGAACGATTAAATTTAACTTAAAATTGATAGAATTAATTTTTTTCTATCTTGTATTTCGTAATTTCTCCATTCTATGTTTTTTTTTAAAAAGAAAAAAAAAATACGTGGGAAGAAACTTTTGATCCATTCTGTTGTTTGCGATACATAATTCATGCGAACTGAATAACACGTAGATACAATACGTAGCATGATCAAATTTTGCTCACAAATGAGAAATATACAAAGGAAACGGACGCATTGTAAATATTCAAAGCGCAATATGAAAATTAATAATGCAGTGTGTGAGTTTAAAATTATTATATGTTACTGTAGAAAATACTGGATTTACGATCGGCTGAATTGCTCGAGTTTACCGTACTGCTAACGATGGAATATTCCCGAGTCGAAGAACGTAGAGACACGCATATTATACACGTGGAATTTTTTTTTTCTTTTTTTGTCAAACGGACGAAGCCTTCAATGTTACCTGGATTCATTTACAATTACACAATCTAGCGTTTCAACCTACTCGATTGACTTTCATTTTGTGCTCGTTGGGGATTAGATGCTGGATTATTGATCGCATCGAGAGTGAATTGTCGTTATTTGATGTAAATGCATAATGATGCGTGATGCTGAATATATTTGAGGAAATTGACGAGATTGAACGTAACCAAGCGTGTATAACGAAAGACTGGATGAATACGAGAATCGATTGAACTGGATATATTTGACGATCGTTCGAATTGAAACGTATAATCGATGAGAATATGTGGGAATGCCGATTGCATTTGAGAACTGATGAAATTGAACACAACGGAGGATGTATAACAACGAATAGGTTCAAGAATATATAAAGAATGAAAGACTATAAGAGTAATGCTATATTCTATACGATAATTCTGTAATAAAAGGAAAAGAAAACGAGATTATATAAAATTAATCAATAGGTATCAATTATAATAAAAAAAAGAAAAAGAAACAGACAACTCCATTTCTCCTCCTACCAGGTCCATTTCGTGTTCAAACTTCGACCTACTCGAATCCCACGGGCATAGCTAAAAATTCGCACGAAGGAAAAAAAAAAAAAAAAAAGAACCACAGTGAGTTCTGGGCCATCGAGTCACAACTTTGTGGACAGTCGCAACTTTCGATTGAACGTCGAGCCTCGAGTAGGATGCACATCACCGAGAGAAAACAAGCCAGCTATTCCAGCGTTCCGTGCCCCAGTGTCAGAGCCTTGAACTTGAACCTGAACCGGTGGGCAGATCGTCCCCAGCTCGGTTTCTAGGTTGATCCGGGTCAGGTGTGCCTCGCCACGGGCCTTCGGATCGAGGTTAGGGCTGGATTTCTCTCTGACCGACCCGGTCTCTCTACCTGTGAACCTTCGACGAATCGCCACTTGGGATGACCCCCCCGCGAGCTACCGCGCACGCGCCCCATCGCTATTCTGAAAACGGGACAGCTGCCGTACCGCTTCCTTTCCCGCTCCCCTCATCGTCCCTTCTCGTCGTTGTAACCCCGTATCGACCTTGGCCCGTCTTCAGGTAGCTCGCAGAGCCTGGAGGAACGTAGCCACGCTTTTGCCCCCCCCCCCCTCACCTCCTCACCTCCCCCCACGCTCCACGGTGTCCTAACGACACTCTTTTCTTTCTTTTCTCTATTCATTTTGGGGAAAAAAAAGTTTGAAGGTGTTACAGCTCAGTGAGAATGAGTTTCGTGACGATATTATCGGAAGCTAGGACCAGAGGCTGTGGCTTGGCGCTGGTCTTGACGATGGTTCACTTGATTACTTCTACTACCGTGGAATATCAATTTTAATTTCGAGGTTCGAGCAGCTTCAGAACTTTTTTTTAGGTTAGGTTTAACCTCTTGCGCTGTCGTGAACTTTTTGCCCCAAAATTGCAATATTTCCGCAGTTCTAAGTATATTTAAGTGTAACTCGAGGCAAAACAAACGATAAATTTATCATTACATCTCGACAATTTCTATATAGGTGATATCGTACCGACGAGTATCGAAAAGAAAGCGACGAATTATTGTATTATACGGGGTTTGGTCACTCGTTACGGTTCGCAATCCAGTTGCCAGCGCCAGTGGTTAATGGATTTTTCGAATTTGTTTGTTTGGAGAATTCGGTGAATCTCTTCGCAGAGATTCTGATACTTGAACTTGGATGGCTTAAGTTCAAATTGTGCTCGAGTGTTTTCTATTTCGAGCCTATATAAGCGACAGAGAGGCAAAAGGCCAACGAACACGAGATATCTCTCTCTCTCTCTCTCTCTCTCTCTCTCTCTCAAGCAAAGAGCGGCGTTCCGGGAAAAGGAAATCCAGGAAGAACGACATCTGTTCCGGAGTCCCTGACCGCTGGGACACACCACATCCTCGCAATTACGCAGCAGTGTGCCTCTCGCAGTGTGTTGAGGTTTCCAAGCTGACAGTCTCATTTCTACCATCCTTTGTTCGTCGATCCTTCGAAGACGCGGCCGAAGAAATTTTTATTTCGCTCGAAGCTCCGTTTCGATAAATCGATAAAAAGAAAACGACAAATTCTTTTCAACAGGTATCTGTAGGTATCTGTAAGTTTCTTTGAACTCGAAGAGTCAGACTGTATGCATTACTTTTACGTATACCAAAATTTCTCATTCTTTCATATTATTTCTTGGTTTTGTAATATTTCATTTTACGGTTTAGCCGCACATTACCGTTTTATCAAGAGCAAATTAATTTTTACCAAGAGCAAAACTCACAAATGGAACGGATCGTCCTACGTAAAAAAAGAAAAAAGAAAACGTAACTCGACGACCGATGGCTGCGACGACGAAACTAATTGCGTGTGTCCACGCGTGCACGTACAGCGAGTATCTTCGCGTGCGCGAGCGTAATCTGTTTCCGCTTCTCTCTCCGGAGGGAGAGGCGATCCGAATCGCAAAACACGCGAGAACGACGTCGAGCCACGAGTCGCGATGACTGGTAAAAATACCGGTCGAGTGAGTAATTCCGTGGAAGAGCTTGCCGGCAGCGGCACTGCGAAAGAAGAGGGGTACACAAACGGTGACAAAAGAAAACGTGAGTCGATCGGTTGCACATGCACCGAACGGCCTTGAACAATCGCTTCGCCACGAAACCGACCGCTCCTCTTCTTGCGTGCCGCTCTCCCGCCACTTCCACTTCTTTGTCCCGTGCTCTCTCTCTCTCTCTCTCTCTCTCTTTCTCTCTCTGTGTCCTTTCTATGGTCGCACGACTCACGAATCCTGAATTTTGCGCGCGCGCGCCTTGTCCAGGTGCAAAATTTCCTTTCGAGTGTAATTCTATTCGTCCTTTAGACACGATGCAAGTTGACAAATTGTTAACTGGTTTAGTCGAAACGTTGTCATTTCATTGGCACGATTTTTCATGCAAGAATAAGGAGATTTCGCGGGACAGAATTCTTTCTTTTTTCCCCCGGGAAAGTTTAAAAGTTGGCGGGGCGCGCGGCGAACTTTAAATGTCAGCGCGCGGCTAACTTCAAACGTCGATAATTTCGAGGTGAAGTATATTTCTTTTATCCGATGCGTGTGGCTTCTTTTTTTCTTCAATTGAACTATCTTTTTGTAAGTAACTTGTACTTTAGAAATGATAGATCTGTTTTAAAGAATTCCGAGAGTCTCTTAGTTTCACAGACACCTCGAGGAGAAGCGAGGAAAAAAAGTCTAAAGAGAGAAAAATTAAAATCAAAGTTAAAAGGAATTCTTTTTAATCTCATCTCTCTCTCTCTCTCTCTTTCGTTACAAATCCCAACGTCCCATAGCCAACTTTCTTTTCAATTTAAAGTTTTAACAAACGAATCTTTTCCCATGTCTCTCGAAAAAAGTTTCAAAAAACGCAGAACTGGCAGCAGCCTGTACTTTTTTTACTAATTATTCCTTTTCTTATCGAATTAGTGCGTAAAATAGCGCTGCCTCGCTGTTACCATTATTATTTCCTACAATCGGCGCTTCTAATCGCGAGTTGTCGGTGTCTCTGATGTTAACCAGCAACGCAGAGGAAACCGGACATGATTACGGAGTCGCTTGAAGCTTCGTTGAGCATCGCGAGGTCTCCGCCACGCATCAGAGCCTCTCTTTCGCTATTCCCCTCGCGCTTTATCGCCACCCTTGCTCTAATGTGCCTCGGTTTTTTTTTTTTTTTTTGTTTTTTTCTCCATTGTTTCTTGCGTTAAACCCACACTCGCATCTCCCCTCCCTCCCCGCCATTTAATTCGTATGTTTACTCTTTTAACGAGCTACAACAACGGATTCGCAAGTCACTCAATTGCGAGAAACGAGAAAAATTTTAGGACCAGAATTTTTCAACCACGAACAGAGAAAAATATGTATTCAATGGTAGAACTCACCGAGCTCGTGTTCTTTAAACTAGTGGAATTGGTAATTTCCATTTGAACGAGAATGGTACTCACCTGAAACAGAAGAAAATAAAGTTAATAATTAAATTAGTAATTAATTGTTAGAGCAAGTCTTACACGTACGTGATATTTTTTTAACATCTTCTGTGAAAGGAATTTTGTAACTGTTAAACATTCGTAACGATTAAACGTTCGAATATATTAATTACTAAAAAATTATTAAACATCAAATGGAGGGGTCACTTTTGTTCTTAAATTGTTAAAAGTATATCCCATCACCTGAAATAAAAATTTTGAGAATATTCTTCTACGTGTCATCGAAGAACATCTCGTTAATAAAAAAATTCAACAAAAAAAAAAAGGATCGTATCAAAATACTGCCCCTCGAGCATCAAGGGAAATTTCCTGAGTTAAAAATTTGGTTTCGATGTCAAATTTGGAGATTTTCTTGGTAATTTCGAGAACGCGATTACTAATTAAACCACCGTGAGAGGGGTGGTATGAATTTTCTGAAATTTATTTCCATGGCTACATCGAGGGTGACGCGTTCAGCCACCTGTTGTTCCTCTTCCAACCCCTTGACCACCTAATTGCCACGGTTACACTGGCTTTGAAGCTCTTTGATCTCGATCCACCGGCCAATTCTGCCCGTGGAAATCTCTGTACACACGACACCACGTGTAAACACGTCTCCCACTTTTCCACGAGCTATAAATCTCGAAAATTTATGCAATAACGTTGACACGTACGTAATTATCGGCGTATTAACGAACTTGAAAGTGACGCGGAGTTTATTATTAAAAAAAAAAAAAAAAAAACCGTCTAACGACGAGCGAGAGTGCAAGTGAAAACTTTAAATTTAGAACGCAGGTGTGAAGTAATTGTTCTCTAATAAAAATCCATCGCTCTGGACGAGAAAAACGCGTGAAAACGCGACGAACAATTTTATTATCGTCAATATTTCTATTTAATTCCAAACGTCAAAATATATACTCCAGAAACAGGATGTTGAAAATGAATTTCCAGAACAATCCTCTGAAAATAAACTGCCAAGACGAATCCTAATAACAAAATGTAACTCTAAATGAGAAATGTGAGCTGAAAATTCCATTTCTATCTAAAAAAAAAAAAAAGAAACGATACAATTTTCAAAACACCCATCTTCCAAACGTCAAACGGAGTTCGAAGCGAACTGAAAATTCGACCTTTGCAACTTAAAACAAAGTCATCGATTTTATCGTGGAAACATGCGAGCAAACAGATTCAACGCCGCCCTTCGAAAAATTTCCACCCCGAAAGAGAGAAAGAGAAAAAGTGGCGACTGTTGCCAAACGAAAACAAAGATCCCGAGCGGGCTCGTGCAAAAAAGCAGCCCGGTTGGCTGATCGATTATTTCTTTTTTTTTTTTTTTTCTTTTTTTGTCCCCTGGGCTGTCGGCGATTCGATTCGTCGAATCTGGTGTACCTGTTCGCGTGCAGCTGGCTTTCCTTCCGCGCGAAATGCTCGCGCGGAGCAGAGAGGAGACACGTTTTGTCGACCACGTGAAGCCAAGTACAGAAGAGAGCAGCTTCTCGATCGTCGTCGTCGTCATCATCGTCTCAGCGTTCTCCGAGTCGTTGCAGGCAATCAGAACATTTTGTTATGGTAATTTCCGAGACGAACACGGCCGGACGCCGGCAGAGAGAAAGAGAGAGAGAGAGACTGTTTCACAAAGGACGCAACGCCGCGTTATTTGCATTTTTCGCGAGCCGGGCCGAGTCCGTGAGAAGTTTTTCGTTTGCCGCTCGGCGTGAATTGTCCGGCTCAATTCACACGTGCAATTCACACCGAGAGGAGCCGCCGCGATCGTCCGTTCGATCTTCTGAATAGGCTGCTCTTTCTTCTTTTCTCTCTCTGTGTGTGTGTGTGTGTGTGTTTTGTTAATTGGCGTGCTTCGACGTAAATGATAACAATATACCGCGCGTTCCTCCGTTCAGTTTATTTAAATAATTGCTACAGATTGGCAATTGAAATTAAAAAGCGACGAAGTTTTATCGTGCAACTGTCTGCATTATTATCTTAAACAGCCGTTTGCTTGAATAATTCAACTTCACGGAGCTGCTATATCGTTGAAATTATTACTTACAAGTTTTTATTATTTGTTAGTTAGCGATAGGTTGATAGGTGGTAGATAACAGCTCAAGTAATTTATTTGGCATTTAATTCACTGGTCGTTGCTTGAAATTGTTCATTTACCACAATGTAATAATAATTCAATTCGTTTCAACTGCAATTTACAAAGTTATAGGAAAGAAAATAAAGAGAAAATAAATTCGAAAAGTTGCCACGCTCTGCTTACTGTAACTCTATAAAACCTAACCCAATCAAATTTCGATTATCTGCCGAGGCAACGATACTTCAACGAGTTGAGTTTTACTTCAACATCGAAATGTATCCGACTTGAACAACAACCATCGCTCAACGAAAGATTGGTATTTCTGGTCGAAAGGATACGGAATTTCAACGATCACCGTTCTATAAACAGAATTCATCGTGCCTCAGAATCAGCATTCGCCGCGGTTCTGCGCATTATTCCCGAGCGTGAAACTCGCCAGTTACTCGCAGCAACGAATCATCCTCATTCATGAATTTCCAAGAGGCAAACGAACCGCGCCTCTTTTCCCTCTCGCGGGTATACAGTGTACAGAAGAAACAGAAGCAGCTTTAATTGGCCGTCACGGAAGGTTAATTGGTAATTTCTCTCACGCTCGCGAACCGTCTCACGCGGATTTCTGCTTTGTCAGTCATCCCCCTTTCTACGTCTGCCCGCTTTGGTCAGAAAAGAATCTTTCTCTCTCTGTCGCCTTTTCCACGTGACCGAGAAACAGAGAGAGAGAGAAAGAACTTCTACGTATGTACATCTCCCCTCGGTCGAGAGCTTAAATTTAAAATAATCTCGTTTGGACGAGAATTTTTCCAGAGACGAAAGCATTTTTGGGGAGGGAGGGTTTGGTGATGGAAATTTAAATCTTGAACATATATTTTATAGAATGAGAATAATTGCGTTGCATTGAGTTTAGAATTATTATGTTTATTATTTCGGAATGATAAACAATAAATTTCTTAAAATCATAAAATTAAATAAATAAATTACACATATTAATTTATAATTATATATATATATATATAAAATTAAATGACGAATTTAAAAATTTTATCTTCCGATGACCAAATTCATAATTTATTCTAATTGTTAAGTGTTTTAACAGTGATACAGAGTGAAGAGCACAGCTGTACCAATGAAAAATTGTCGATAATTTAAACTAATATGAAAGAACGATTTTTTGTACCGACAAAATTAAATGACGACAAAAGTTCGTCATTTAATCCTAGTAGGATTTTATCTTTAATTGTAATTCTCCTGTCAAAAACATACGGCATAATGTAATTAAATTAAACGAGAATTGTTAACAATATCTTCACATTGAAAAAGACAATTTCTTTTTCAACATAGTTCTGTACTGAGTTGTACAGAATTCGTGCACGTGAAGTTACGATTATATACGATTGTATACCTGAGGAAAGATGGACAACCGTGACATTCCAGCAGAGATTAGATTAACTCGCACCCTTCCACGGGATCGAAGCGGTTCTACAAAAAAAAGCTGAATCGAGCCACACAAAGTCTACACTGTTCACCGACAAAGAGTTCTTTCTTCGCTGCAAATTTTCCACTACACCGTACGTTCCAGATTCCTCTATCTTCCAACTTTCCCTCCCTTTGCTGCGACAATAGCTGCGAAACTCAAACTCTAAAATATCGTGTAGCTGTTACGAAAATTCGTCGCGAGATTTTATTTAAAAAAAATCGTCGGACATTCATCAGGATAGTTTTGACAAAAATTCTCAGCGAATAGTTTTATTCTTTGGAGAATTGTATTCTCGTAGAGCTAACGGCCAAGTATCACGATAAACTGAAATATATTTCTCTAAATTTACGATTTCAGGGAGATATATTTTTGTTATGGAGAAACTCTCTCTTTCTCTCTCTCTACCTGCATCTCCCCGGTAACAGTTTCCAATATCCACAAATGAAGAATGACACGGACGCCCCTCGAAAATGGAACTGAAATGGAACCCTCCCCTAAACTGAACCGTAATAACCGTCCCTCTATTCACCATGAAATGAGAAATAAAAGACGAATTGTATTATTCTGCCTTCGGTTTTTTTATTCTACCCACATAGTTCGGACCTGTGTTATCGCCGTGATAACCGATAAAAATCTCTGAATAACCTCACTGAATCGATCAAGACGGCACTAGGCCCTGGAAATGGTGGAAAAAAAAAATGCCACCGGTGAAATCGAAGAAAGGGAAGATGCAGCGAGGTAACGGTACGACCGGTAGAGATATATATCGGTGGAAAGCCGGTTTTAACATCGACCAGTTTCCTTCATAAATACCAGGAAAGCCTTAGGAAACGATCTTCCCGTGAATTTACCTACTTCGCCGCGTTTACTTTCAACCCTTTACACCCGCGCACCTGTTGACACACATCGCCTACCGTGCAAACAGGACACTTTATGTGCAGCGTAGATCCTAAACGGATCTACCACAAATAGAAGAACGTGCAATTACCGTAATTATTCGTGACGACGAATTACTGCTGAAGAAAGTGCTCGGAGGTTTGTCTTGAGAATTAATTGTCAGACGGCATGAATCAGATTTGATCGGTTTTCTTCTTTTCATCTCGATTTAGTCTTGGTCCTTATTAAATTTATTCAAATTTGTTCTAACAAATTCGTAGTTAGTGCTTGGACGAAAAACTGACGTAAATTGATTTATGAGTGCAAAAAAAAAGGTCAATAAATAACTATTCTACGATACGCATCTGTCAAGTATATTGATTTATTCACAACGATATGTCGATAAATCAGCACTAAAAAAGATTAAGATCATTCTACGACGTATAGAAATTTATTCCACTAAGCAACTCTCTATTTCGTCTGCTACATATTAAAAAAAAAAAAGAACACACCACTTTGAATATTTTTTGTATTTTTACATATTCATGAGCCTTTCCCAAAAAAATTTTCCCAACCGAGTGAAATCCTACAAATTTCAGTCGTTTCAATTTCGAGACGTTCTCGACTGTTACGTATATATGTGCTAACTGGCTACTCCAATAAAATGGCGCACCTCCTTCCAGCGGAATTCCAAATCCTACGTAACAGAGATCTCATGAAAATATCATGAGTGGATATTAATCTGCCCGATTCGAATCGTCACGGACGTAGATAGATGGTGGAGGCTGGATGAACGATGAGATTCGACGTTTCCCCGGGGGTTTTCGCGATCGAACCAGCGAACGAGATAGCAGCGCGAAGAGGGGCACGTGTCCCTCTGTGGAGCGAGGATTCACGCTGCCACGACCTGCATTCCGCGTTTAGCATTCCTTCCTTGACATCTCGTCGCTACCTCCTCATCCCTCCGTTTCTCACAGAGAGCGCTTCAAGGCCGGGAGTGGGCGCGGAAGGCACACCCGAGCATGCTAATACACGACCCTGATCGTCGATCGACGGCGATGACGTTGCTCGTTAAGCTGGTTAATACGGGGTGTGCGGGAAGTTACCGAGCGATTATGAAGAAAATGCTAATGGGACGGCGAGAAGGAGGAACGCCGGAACAAACGTAGAAAATGATAAAATTGCAGACAGTACAAGTAATAAATAGGACAGTACGATGATAATAAATGAACATTACGACAAAGTTTAGTCGTTAATGATAATCAATAATAAATGACTAATATAGAGAGTAGTACATATGATATTTCCTTGCGTTTCATATCATTTTATTATTAGTCATCATTATATAATATTTTTAGACTCGGAATAAAAAGAAAGAACAAATTCTATCCATTTTTTTTTTTTTTTTTTTATTCCATTTTAATAACTTACAATTTTTACGCCACTAATTTTTTTCTGTTCTTCGTTTATTTTCAGCACATCTTAACAGGATTTTCTTTTTTCTTCTGTTCTTTAATATTCTAGTTTCTCACGGTCCCCCCCGACTGTCACGTTACACTGTTAATAAAATTATATTCGACGCGAAACTGCAATTAGATTAGAACGCTCTGTGCGTAAAATAACAATTAAACGGTTCATCGTGGCAATCCCCGTTTAAGCTACTCAAATTGTTATTCAAAATGGTGAATGCTTTCAGGCAAGAGTTTTATATATATATATATATACGTGCAGCAATTTCGGGTTTCGCTTTATTAATTGCGCGGAGCCTGTTCATTAAGCGGCAGTAATTAGAAAAACCGCCTTCACGTCGACGCCAATGGTCGACAGAATGAATTCTGCACCGTTGCATTGCCTCGAAGGTCGAATGTGGGCGCTCAAGATGACGGATGCCACAGGCACATAGGATGATGAATTCAGCTTGTACAATTTTTACATTACACAGGCCTCCAAAAATACTTGGAAAGTCTCACTCGTTTCTTCTCGATCGAGTGAATCTTTTTCTGTTAAATTCCCTCTTTCTCTTCCTCAGTCAATCATTTCATCCTCTTGCTATCTTAAATCAAGAATTAATTTAACCAAGATTTAATTTAATTTAATATCGCTGTTCGTTTCTCCAAGATTTCGGACAACTGTCAATTATTCATTTTACGATCACTTCAAATTTTGTACAATTCCTATATAGCGTGTGCTTCGATAACCTCAAATTTTTGTGGCGAGGAGACCTTCCAATTAGAACCTTGAATCGTCAGAAGCAATTCCCAATTTCCAGTGATAATCGACGCGAAAAAATTCAAGGCTGATCGCGTGGACACGCACTTTGGTTGACCACTTTCAATGTTCGACCGATGAAATTTTTATCGTGTCCCAACTGCGTTTTATTTTTAACGTGGCCGTTTCTTCGCGATTGTTGTATCACGAACGATAAATAATTATCGCGCAACCGAACACGCTGTTCTCATGCAGAGAAATGTTGCAAGAAATTGCAGTCAAACTTCGAAATTCAAGATCTTCAGGGACTGTACATAAATATCTCACATACCCATAAACTTTTAAAAAAAGAGACGCTATTTTTATGAAAAAAAAAAAAAAATACTTTTTGTCAGTTTCAAATTTTGATAAAAGAAAAACTATTTTTCTACTTTATAGAAAAAGTAAATTGCATTCGTTCTATATTTTTGAAGTAGTCTATATATAAAGCGCAGCCATGACAACAGTCAGCGCCACCACAAAGCTCTCACAATCTCGAATGAACTAACGATATCAATCGCAAGTGGTTACACGAGCACGGTAATAAAGAAGTAATAGTTACGGCAGTTGCTTCCTGAAGAGAGTGTCTTTCTTCTTCATTCTGTTTACTATTCTTCTTTCTTCTTTCTTCGAGAGGAAAAACCACAATCTGTTTTCTAACGAAACCACTCGATGACAATTTCGGTGTTTCTCGCTAATTGTTTCCTTATGAGGCTCGTTTTATTAGTATGACTGGTTCGAGGAAGATTACACGGATAATTTCCATGGAGTTGCTTCGTTCTCATCATTGTTGAATTTTTATAGAATTATCAAGGGAAATTTGACAGGCGAAAAGAGAAAAAGATCCTTCATATTCAAGAAGAGAATGCGAATTTTCGCGAAAATTCTCCTTGCTGTTAAATTTAATTTAGTTTAAATTTTTTTCCCTTCTGATACAATTTTTTACCTTTTATCTTCTTTTCTACGTTTAAATACTGTTGGCGAATTTTTCTCACAAAGGTGCTTTAACCGAAGAGACAAATACAGAAGAAAAGAGGCACTGACCTGTGCTACGAAGATAAGACAGCTAGAACAGCTGTCAAAAGTGATCAAGTCGGGCTAGGTCATTGGCCCTACAAATATTACCTCAAGCTCAAAGAAAGAGTTAGTTAAATATCAATCTGATTTCTCCAATAAATGTTACTTCTTTCTCAATATTTTCTACCAATGCCAAAATTAAATCGACTCATATACTTCTTTTATCCAAACATTCGAATCCCAATGAAAAATTAAAAAAAGAAGAAAAAAAAAAGAGGTTTCGATTCCACTACCTCAATCTCCAAGGTTACAATTCAATCCGTCTCAAAGAGATTGCGAACGGATTAATGGTTTCTCGCTGGAAAGATAGGCAAAAACGAAGCAAAGAGATCGAGAGAGAGAAAGAATGAAGTTAGAAGGAGAAAGGGGAAAGAGAAGCTGGGGCGTTAGAAGCATCACTGACCTAACACGTCACGCGTAAAGGCCAGCCGTGACGCGTG